TTATAAACTTTAAAAGTACTGTCAAAATTGGAAAATATGATAAAAGTTTAGATTGGAACAACTAAACAGTGTGGACCAAAGATGTTATTAAATCATCAAGTTACACTGCTTTAACAATACAGAGGAGTGGTTGTAGAAATTGCAGTTATACAAAAATCAAAGAGAAAAGAATTTTATTAATTGTAGGTTTGTTAAGTAGCAGTGAAAAGTTAAATATTATATTTTAAAAACTTAAAATAATATGAAAAATGAAAAAAATAATATGAAAAATGAGTATCAGGAGGAAATGCTAGCAGAATTTTAAAAAGGGATTTTTTAAATTCCTAAAAAACATTTTATTAGGAGCTCTTATAGATATCATTACAATCTGTGCGGTTAGCAGCCTAGTGCCTAACCACTAGCCACCAGGGATCCTACCTTATCAACAATCTATTATTAAATATTGACTATGTACACAGTATTAGAAATATTAGATACACTGCTTTCTCTCCAGAAACCTGGCTGGCAACAAAGAAAATAAAGCATTTGCACAGATACGAAAGAATGTACAGCGATATTAAAGAACATATGTAATCAGGTTGGAGACTGGAAAAAGGAAACTAAAACTTATAAGAACAAGGACCAATTAAATCAAAGTTTCACAAAGGAAATGAACTTTGAAAAAAAATCTTAAAGAAAAAAATTAATCAGGAATTAGAGATAAAAGATTCCAGAATGGGGAAATATGGAGGACCTTAGGAAAACAGGATAAAGTAGGTACATTTGGCAGGCAAATAGGAAAGGCAGGTAAATTTGGGGGGGGGAGGCAGAGAACAATGTCTATAGATCACAAAACATCTTGAGCCAGAGAGGGAATTTATATGCTCTATACCGGTGAGTAGGAGCCCTGATGGCATAGTGGCTACCCATTGGGCTGTTAACTGCAAGGTCAGTGGTTTAAAACCATCAGCCACCCTGAGGGAGAAGGCTTGCTTCTCCCTTAGTCTCCAAAACTCATGAGGGCAGTTCTACCCTGCCCTATAGGGTTGCTATGAGTTAGCATCGACTCTATGGCAAAGTTTGAGTTTGGTTTTGATATACAGTGAGAAAGATAATTCTGATTTTGCTGTGTTTTAAATGAGACAAGTTTACTTGCAATGTATATGAGTTTGGAAAACCAGGTCAATAAACCAGGCTATTTTTTACTATAACTCAAGCATTAAGTAGATCCAATTAAGGTGGTATCTGTGGGAATTATGAGCATCAATAAAGCCAAAAATGAACTGATGAGAGATTTGGAGACATGGACGATGGGGAAGATAGATTCAATAGAGGCTTATTTCTAAACCAGAGGATTGGAAGAATTTTAATATTGACAAAAGTGGGATTTGGGAAGTTAAAAAGGCAAATGACTTTTACATTTCTCAACACATTGAATTTAAAAAGAAGTGCGAAAAAAAATAAAAAATAAAAAAATAAAATAAAAAGAAGTGCGTATTTCCTACAGCCAAGAAAAATAAAAATCCCAGAGGGAATAGAATTTAATATGATGGGAAATGGAGGCACAAGTATAAGTTTGTCATTTAAATATACAATAGCTCATTAGAGTAGCAGACAAATTTATATATATTGCATGCATTCTCAGCAGGAGAAATATTGCCTCAAAAAATTGGTTCAGGAATGAAGCAATAAAAAAATCTTAAATACTACGATGGCTTGTGGGCCTCTAAAACTATGTGAAAAAGATCTTATTCCTTAGTATTTATTTTCTCTAATTAAGGAGAACTTAAACATGTGTCTTTGGACCTGGGGCAAGGGTGTGTGATAATTTTTTAAAAAGTGTGTATTAAGGAATAATGTTTAAAAGAAAGCAATCTGTTAGGTACTTGTGCCAGTCATTTGAGAAAAGGTTGATTTCCGCTTGCCTTTGCCATGCAGAAAACTGTTAAGAATCAATTTGATTGTAGCACCTGCTATATTTGTCTTAAATCTGTGTTGGGAGACATGAAGTACTTACCTACATGTTTTCTCCACAAATCTCTGTAAAGGCAATTTTATACCGAAAGGGGGGAGCGGTGCTGAGGAACACAGGTATGGGTATATAGTAACTGAAAAGTAAAGGACCCTTTGAGATTTCTACAGGCAAAGAAACTAAAGCATATGCAGAAGAGGGAGTAAGAGAAAGGCCAGAGGAAGGAAGAAAACTAAGATTTAATTTTTATAAGTTAAAAAATCCTTTTAAGAGGTCAGCACCATCAAAACTATCAGAAAAACTGATAATAAATGTTCTGAAAGAAAGGTTAAAAAGAGGAAAATAATCCGCTCTAGCCACAGACAGGAGTCTCAAACAGCCTTATTGTGATGCAGAGACCATCGTAATCTTGATGATGCTGGATCCAACTTGATACTTGGCCAATTGACTACTCTCTAGACAAGAGCTGGATTTGTTTATGTGCAAGTATCTCTTACTGGTTCCATGACAGATATTTTTTCCCTGCTTTATCAATGTTGTTGTTTTTTTCCTTCTTATGCATTATTTGTATTTGTATTCTATTATGTTTTTATCATTAGTACTACCTTAGTGTGATTTTGTTTTTTATTGTCTTCTGTTGAACCTCCCAGCTGCGAAGCACAGGAGAGATTACATATGATAATAACTGATAGAAGAGGATATAGGGAATACAGGGGTTGGGGGTGGATGATAGGGAGGGAAAGGATTTCGGGAGTAAATCATGAAGACAGGATGGGTAAGGAAGCACTAGAATGGATTGTTACTGCATAACACATCTTAAAGGTGATTTGACCATGGCTGGGGGTAGGGAGATGCTCTAAAATTGATGTGGGGGTGATTGTACTATTCTCCTTGACAAGACTGAAGATTGAA